GTGTTGCATGATAAAGGGATTTGTTCAGAGTGGCATATTAAATATAGTATGCTGGGTTTAGTTCCTGGATTCCCACTATTCAAAAGGGTCCAGCCCAACTTGCATGCTCTTGCTCCTGCTTGGCTACTTTGGATTCTTTCAACAATGTTAAGCATGCCTTTTAAAACTCTCACTCTGAGTGCAGTTGCTGAGTATGTGTTTTTGTGGCTAAACTGTTGAGTAAGAGTTCATTATATAACCCTGGTACTGTCCTTGCAATGGACAAGTGTTCTTAAAAGCACTTTGTGATCAGTACTTTAGGTACTGCTGCAAATGAACTCAAAGCTCGGTAACCCTAAACACTTTTAAAAATAAAGCAAAAGGTACTTGCTTCAAAATACTATAACCTCTAAAGATACTCTTTATAAACTTAAATTATATCTCATTCTTGAGTTGTGATTATTTTTTTTTTAATGGGAAACTGATATTTTTAAAAACTTTGTCACAAAATGTGATTCTTCTTTTAAATTTTAATGTGGGAAGAAATATGAGAAACAAAGCTGACTGATGACCTTGCAAAATAGTGTTTTTTCTTGTTTCAGCATATATTCATCATTAACTCTTTAGTTATTTTTACAAGTAAATATTTGAAACAAACACTAGTTTGAATTGCATATGAAAAAACTCATAATTTAGAAAATGTGTCAGTAGGATGAATATAAACTATTTCATAATTACAGGAGAGTAACTGGTAAGCTGGCTGAAACTTTTTAAATAACATTTATTCTGTTAGAAATTGTGAACTACAGCTGAAATTTCTGAAGTCCAGAGCTTTTTGTATAAAAGGGTAAGAGACCTAGATTAAAATTGTAACCCTGATGTAAAAATCAATGTTATGACAATGTTATGCATGGAGAAATAATATTAAAGAGGTTTTCTTTCTAGTCTAAACATAAATACATGTTTACGCAGTAGTTTCATTTTGGAAAAACATTCATTATTGTGTAGTCAGCCTCCAACTGCAGTACTAAATGAGACAGTTGTCATGCTATATAAACCTCATCAGACAAACTTGGTGTCGTTACCCTCTAAGGAGCAAATGAGAACAGCAGTGAAAAATCTTACTTAGGTATTTGTGCTTCAGTCCAGAGAAATCTGTTCTTTCATTGTTTGGGGAGGTTTTCTCCCTCCTCAGTGTCCTCTCTGTTTTCTTAACTGTGGGAATGAAGTGATGAGGTTATTCCAAGCTCACATATTCAGGCAAAATATTTTCTTAAGTGTGCTTCTTTGCTATAAGAGAAAACAGCTTATGCAGCACTGATTCACAGGCAGCTGGCCACAATTACATTGTTAAAATTTAGGTAGTGTTTATGTAGAAAGTCAATGTACTATTATAAGCTGTATCTTTATAGAGAAAGAGGGTTGGTTTAGGACTCATGGTGGCAATGGATAAAAGCAATGTAAGTCAGGAAAGTGAAGGTTGGGTTTTACTTCCTAATTACTTTTCTGCAGTTCTCATAAGCAGAACTGCTGGTTAAAACTGTGAGGGTAACTGGTCCCCTTGGCAGCTTCACAAATGTAACCAATACATCACTGCCTTGCTAAGTCTCCAGTGCTAAAAACTAAAAAAGTGAATTCTGTTGCTTTTGGGAGGCCCTTCACAAATTAACCCTGGCAGCTTCTGTGTGGAGAGAGTCAAGCTGTAGTGTCTGCAGCTTGGAGCAGTTGCAATATGTGTGTTAGTACTAACTTTTAATAAAAAGATGCCATTTCAAATAGATGTAACCATACTGTTGAATGCAATTGTCACTCATTTTAATTTTAGGAAATTATTATTAATCATCACTATTTTCTTCATGATATATTAATTACAGAAAATATAACAAAAGAAGTCTATTTTTTTTCATCAAATTGTATTTACTCAGAAAAATGTAGCCTAACAGTACTCCCTCTAGTGCCTCTGTCCCTGTGGCCAGAATTAAGTGAGTCTGAATTGGACACTATTGCCTCATGTGTTACCCAGTGTAGACACTGTTAGGGAAAGTATGAACTCATTTTAGGGAGGGAAGGGGGTATGAGGAGTATGAGAGCCATTTAAAGATTGCTTATTAAAGTGTTTTCTCCAATAATTTATTGAGAATTATATTTGTCACCATAGGAGAAAGTAAGGAAGAAAGGACTTTCAGAAACTGGATGAATTCACTGGGTGTAAGCCCATATGTTAACCATTTATACAGGTAAGGGTTTTTTAAAACAATTATTGGACTTCCCTTGGATGACAGGGCAAGAAACAAGGGAAGAAGAGAGGGAAGTTGTATTTCTACTAGAACAGTGATTTTCAGGTTTCCAAACAATGTGATAGGAACTTCAAAACTGGTCTGTAGAACCACATTAAGTAGTATCATACTCAAATAGTCTAGCCATCATCTAGAAATACTAGAAGACCTAAGAAGGTTTTTATGTTGTCCCGTCACTCAGTTGTGCTTTGAGTTACATTTTTTTAAAAGTTGAGGTAATTGTGGTTTATGATGCGTGGGGTTTTTTCTCAGTAGACTGTAAGGAGCTGTGCAGAGTGGGGTATTCCCTCAAAGGAAGGACTTTATAACATGCTTTTTAGATGCTTTCAAATTGTGCCAGCAGTTGATTGAAATCTTGTCAATAAAAGATGAGACAGAGAGAGAAACTGGGAGCATCTGCTTCCATGTGTATTTGCTGTTAGGTTTCATTGTGTCTGTTTTCTGACCTCTGTAAAGCGATCTGTAGGTAGCTTAATGTGGAGAATTTCATTCAGTAAGTAGCTCAAGGGGATTATCAGGAATGCAATATATAATGGGAAAATAATACTTTTACTACTATTCTTTTTTCACAAGATAAGTACCTTGGTTTTGATTATTCTCCAGCTAAATACATCTGTAGATGCAGATAAAGCATCAGTATTTAACATCTGGAAAAGTCCTGAGGAAACTAAAACTAGATCAATAAATTAAAACTCTTTAGCAGCTATTTTGTCTATGCCCACTCTGTGAAAGCAATTATTTAACTGAAGTTGGTAGAGCCTATGGGTGAGCTTACTTCACTAAGATTTGTGAAAATAATGAAATTAAATGCAGAATTGGATCCATATAATTGCTGAAATCAAGCAATAGAATATAGGCCAGTTTCTCTACAGAGTGACACACATTTTTATTTAAATGTCTGGAATTTTTCAGTGACTTAATTACACTTTGAGGAGTCTCAAGTACTTACTTTCATTGTCAATACGAGCTTTTGTGCTTAAAAACGTTGTTTTCCTCTGGTTTAGTGACCTTTCTGATGCTTTAATCATCTTCCAATTGTATGATATGACTCGTGTGCCGGTTGACTGGAACCATGTCAACAAACCTCCTTACTCACTGCTCGGTGGGAATATGAAAAAGGTGGGTAGATGCTCTGGAACAGCCCAGCTTCACTGTCTCCTTTGTGCTGATTGTGTTGTCTGGATTTGTGTGCTAATGAGTCAGTCCTGGGGAGGGGGGAAGAAGAAGAAAGCATATCTTCCAGATATTATCCCAAGGAATAAATAGTAGTTATAGCATATATCACTTTATAAATGTGGACACCTTTTGGCAATATGTATTTTATGGTCTGGTTTGGATATATAAGTGAAAGTTTCAGGTCTGACACAGCTATCACAGCTTGGTGCTCTTATCCTGTGAGGTGTTTCCTCACAGCTGCCCAGAGGATTTGTGCAGGACTTGCAGAATCCAAGTTTTCCATTAGTTTTGTGACTGTAGAGGATAAAAATTACTGTATGTTTAAGAAGAACACATTTAAATATTTTTCCAAGTATAGTTTTGATATAGGTATATTTTAATTCACCGCCCTAGTGAAAGTGAACTTGTTTTTTTCAAATGTGGGAAAAATATAATCATTTGAATATTACACACTTGCATTTATAGTAAAAACTGTGTTATTTTAATCACAGTGGAGGTAGAATAGAAATCCTTCTCTAGCTTCAAATCTCACCATAGGTAACAGTAAGCCTAAGTTATTCAAAATACACATAGATTATAGGTCTGTATTGCAGAAATATTAAGGTGTATTCATTATTTGCACACAAAATTTATTTTTAGATTGAGAATTGCAATTATGCAGTGGAACTTGGGAAGGCAAAAGCCAAATTCTCACTGGTTGGTATTGCTGGACACGATCTAAATGAGGGTAATCCAACTCTGACTTTGGCTTTGGTATGGCAGCTGATGAGAAGGTAAGGTGGGCATAATATATGATAAATGTGTATATATGTGTCTGTGCATGCCTGTATGTGTCTTGTATATCAAGGCAAATTAAGGCCAGTGGTCAGTTCACCCAATGGGTATTTTAGAGAGCAATCTCTAAATATCCCTCTTCTCAAAGATAAACTTTTATATGTGTTTTGTAATTTTCCATACTGTGTAGTGATTGAAAAACATTTTACAGCAACTCTTAAAACCTTATAAACTAGAAACTGGGATTAAAATTATAAATCTTACAGCAAGTAAAAAGAGCTCAGATTATTTCATGTTGATTCCATGTATCTTTCTGTAAGTAGAGAGTAATTTAAATATTTGTAAAACCCAGAAAGAGGTAATATATACAATAGAAGTTAAAAGGGTAAAAACAATTGTAGGTCATCACAGCTATAGCAACATAACTATCATAAAATCAAAATCTTGCTAGTGTACTGAAGAAAAAAAAATTATAAAGTGATTTCAATAAAGTTTTTTATTGCAAATGTTTTCCACAAGGCAGTTTTCTTAGACTGATTGCAGAACACTTAATACTTTTTTTCCTCAGACTATTGTGATTCAGTTTTCAAGGTGACTAGGATGGTAGGGAGCCATTTAAAATCATAAAGTAAAATTAATTATGGTGTGCTGAGTTAAATACATGAAGAAGATGTTACAGTGAATATTATGAGGTTTGGGATACTGTTTTTTTCTTGCAACCACTGAAAAAATGATTTAAAGTACTAAATAGCTTATAAGGTAAGGGTACCTTATGAAGAGAAGTACTTGGCATTGTTACTGTGATGAAGTAATATTTTACTTTTGCTTGTAGCTTTGTACTGTTTGAAGAGTTGAGTTCTACTACTTGTTTTAACCTGGGCTCTTGTTTTCTTTACTGAAGGTATACTTTGAATGTACTATCAGACCTTGGAGAGGGGGAAAAAGTAAATGATGAAATTATTATTAAGTGGGTGAATCAGACACTTGCAAAAGCAGATAAGAAAGCTTCAATTACAAGTTTTAAGGTAATCAAATTTATTTACTCTTCCTTCCATATACAATCACACCTGAGATTTTAAACCTGTATGTTAACAGTTTGGCTTTAACAGTGGCTCTCCCATCAGCTATCATAATTCTTTAAGGAAGTGTTTCTGACAGTTTGTGAATCCTCAAAAAGTATTTTACGAATTTGTTAATAAGAAAAAGAAATTTAATAGCTGGAATAAGATAGAAAAGAAAAACCCCAACAAAAACCAAACAACAACAACAAAAAAAACCAAACAAAAAACCAAACAAACAAAAAAAAGTTTAAGCGTTCAAAGGGGCTTCTGCCTGAAGTTCCCAATGTTTTGGGCGTGGCATGTCGTGTATCTTTCAGATTTTTAGATATAGACACATGCTCGTACAGGCATGAAGAACAATTTTGGAAATGCTGGGGGCGGCTCACCAGTTCTACTGAGAGCTGGTTAAAAGGTGTTCTCAGAGTGACAGAGCCAGGAGAGGGAGCCCAAGGTAACCAGCGACATCTCGTGTCTTCCTGGGCACCGCCGACGTGCAGCAGCCCTGTGTCACCCAGGAGCTGTTCCCATGCAGCAAATAGGAACAAACTGATAAAGGAAGCTTTCCTTCCACATTATTAAAGTGCTAAACGCAAAGGAAGCCATGTGCGTGCCAGGTGTGCTATGCTGTGTGAATCTCTAGAAATGGCAGATTAATAATGGCAGTTGCATGCAAATATAATATTCTTATACAGGTTCATTGTATAATCAGCAGCAGTTATGTCTGTGATCCACAACAGGAACATAAGTTAAATATTTGAGAGCTCACTGTGGTATGAACTTTAATTAGGTAAGCTTTATTAGGTAACAGGTAATATAATTTTGTAGAGCAAAATATTCCATTTTCATTCTAGGAGGTAACTTAAGTCTTTTCTTAAGAGAGATTGCTGCTTCTCTTATTTCTGCATAAATTGTAATAATGTTGGTATTAAATAAATGAAAGTCTGAAGGGAATCTGTCCCAATATCTTGCTTTTGGTATGCCTGTGTTTTTGGTAGGACATTGCTTGTTTTTAAGGTCATTCAACTGGTGTTTTTAAGATAATTCAACTGATGCTTGACCACTAAAGATAAGGAGATACTGATGTAAAGTGACATATTCAATATTCTTTTTTTTTTTACTACTAATTTTTTTACAATATTCACGTATATATTGTCTATCACTCTTTGGATTTTGGCATCACTATGGCAAACAGATAGTAGAGAATGCAGAAATGCCTGATATTTTACTGTGGGCTATGAAAGCCAAGTGCTATTGAATTGCCATTAGTTCAAACACTAAAAATGACAAAGGTGTGTCCTATGGTCTTGGGCATATAGTCCATGCATTTAATGTCTCCAAGCAGAATTATATTAGTATTTTTAGATGTATAATTAATATGATGGCTCTGTGGGACTTCACTGAATTGGGAATCATAGCTCTGACCTGGTGACAGGCAGCTGTGTTGCGTGGCCTGTGCTCGGCTGCTGCTGCCTGCTCTTGGTTTGGCATCAGCAGCTCCTTCTCTGCCCAAACAGCTGGGAAGGAATAATTGCAGCAACAGCACTTGCTTTTTTGAGAATGTCTATGTATTAAATACGAAACACAGACTGCTCCTAGTAGCTCAGAATACCATCTGAGTTGAAAAATTGTAAAAAGGAGCCATAAACTACTGCAGAAAACAGTTCCATGGCAAGAAAAAGAGAAAACCAAAAGTACTGGGGAATGTAAATATCTTGATGTTGTCTTGAAAGTCTGGTCCTTGGACTTCTATCAAAATTCCCTTCCTTCCTTAGGGAAGGGGGGAAGTTTCATCAAATAAATTTAAACCATTGGTATAATAATCATATCAGCACAGTGAACCTTATAATTCTGATTGCAGAAAAGAACATTAGATCTCATAAAGGGTGAGGAAAACCTTCACATTATAAAGTAACAAAACAGTATGTATGCAAGATGTGCTGTAGAGTCTTTTGCATTATGAAGATGGAATAATCAAAGCAAATTCCTTAAACTAATCTTTTGAGTCTTTTTCTTTTAGGACAAATCAATTAGCACTAGTTTACCTGTCCTAGATTTAATAGATGCCATTGCACCAAAAGCAGTTCGTCCAGAAATGGTTAAGAGGGAAGACCTTTCTTACCAAGACAAATTGAATAATGCCAAGTAAGTTTTAAATGAATGCACTGTATTTTCCTGAAATGCAGGAAATGCATGAATTCATGGTGTAATTAACGATTTACTGAATTATTAACAGAGAGAGATTACACTAATATTAACTGATTTGTTTCAAATGAATATATTATAAATTATAACATTACTGAGTTATTTTTCTAGAGTATCTAAAATATGAACTCAAATTCACAGGTGATATGACCTCCCACCACTGCACTACAATTGGTTTCTGAATAGCCTGCCATAACCCATATTGGTTTTGACAAAAATAACTGCTTTGATAGCCAGTAGGAAAACATCTGCCAGTAGAATTGCTAATACATGCTTTCTTCACAATAATATCCATTTTCTAGTAGAGCCTAAGTACTGACTGAGCAGATGTATCCCACTATTAAAATCTTGTTTTGTTGCTGTGGACTGTGACACATTAGAGATGCCAGACAAACGACAGTCTTTGTTTTCTCTCGTTTTCAAGGTACGCCATTTCGGTTGCTCGAAAAATTGGTGCTCGTATTTATGCTCTCCCAGATGATCTGGTTGAAGTGAAGCCAAAAATGGTGATGACAGTGTTTGCATGTTTGATGGGAAGAGGACTGAACAAAATAAAATAATGAAGACATGTAATATAACTTTCTGCCACGTTAACCACGATGAATGCCTCGCAGTTTACAGAGTTCTGAAGCTTAGTATGAAATGAGAAAAAGTGTATGCACAAATACACTCATCAATTACCTTTTAATAATGTATTTATATTAGTTAATTTTATTCCATTTCATAACACATGGATTATTTATGGCTAATACTGTTTTCAGAACCCATTCATTACCAAATTAACATCTTAGATTTGTATTGCTTGGAAAAAAACCCCACCATATTAATCAAGCTTCATTTGTATTAGTTTTCATAGCATTTTAAGAATCTGCATCGTTTTACATATGTTATTTCAGGACCAATTGCGACACATTGTTTGATTTTTGTGGGTGTTACTTACACGTAGTCATACACGTTTCAAGGTGCATTCCAATCCTGTCCTATTACTCCAAACTGCACAGAAGTTATCATCCTTGCCTTATTCTCGGAGAGCTTCACTCCTGTTGGAGACAATGAGAGTCTTGTCATTGACTTCAGGGAGAGCAAGTGAAGGCCTGTGATAATGTCTGAAAACTAATGAATACTGATTAAGCTGATGAAACTTTTTTTTGTGGGAATAATCTTTAAAAAAAAGTAGTAGTTTTGTTCTGCAGGAACTCTTACAGTCTGTGTCATATGAAAAAACCAGCAATAGAAGGCAGAAATGTCATGTCATCATTAGGTCTGCATATGTATTAAGTTTTGCAGTTGGACTAAACATCTCTTGGTTGGGTTTTTTTAATTTTTCATAAAATATTGTATCAAGAAAACAATAAAGAGCTGGCTAGTCCAGTTTGGGGCTTCACATTACTGTACTGCATTTCCTTACAGGTCACTCCTTTGATTTTCCTAAATTGTATATCTTGGGTGCAAAGGTTTTGTGTAGAAAGACTGGTGCATTGTCTGGATGAGATGAAGTCTGTAATTATTTTCTTAGTAGTTTTAAAATATGTATTTGTACTCCTTTCTCTGCAGCTGTAAATTTTCACTTGCTGGAGCTGGACAGTTAATAAAGTTGTTACCAGAAGCCAAACAATAAGACAACTAAATTAAAATGACAGCAATTTTTTTAAAGTATGAAGCTGCTACTTTCTCTCAGCTCCTGGAACCAGTTCAAAGTGTGGCAAAACCCAAGAATCATGATGAGTGAACAGCTGTACTAAGCTTTATATCTTCAGTATCTTGCACATAATGTATCAACAGTAAGAGATCCATCCATTCAGTTTCTATTATATAAGAGGATAAGTGGTAGTTGAGAGAATTAAATGCTTGGATTTGGATCCAAGCAGCTGGGTTAAAAGAGATTCAGGAAGGACACTGAGTGTTGGAGTGGGCCCAGAGAAGGACCATGTAGTTGGTGAAGGGTCTGGAGCACAAGTCTGGTGAGGAGGCTGAGGGAGCTGGGGGTGTTTGGGCTGAAGGAGGCTCAAAGGTGACTTTACTGCTCTGTACAGCTCCAAAAAGGAGGCAAGTGGGGCCAGCCTCTTCTCCCAGGCAACAGCAACAGGACAAAAGGACATTGCCTCAAGCTGCACAGGGGAGGCTTAGATTGGACGTGAAGAATTTGTTCACAGAAAGGGTGATCAGACACCGGAATGAGCTGCCCAGGGAGGTGGTGGGGTCACTGTCCCTGGAGGTGTTTAAAGAGCACAAGAGGCACTCCGTGCCATGGTCTGATTGGCACGGTGGTATTGGGTCATACATTGGACTAGAAGATTTCAGAGGTCTTTTCCAACCTAACCGATTGTGTGATTCTCTAAGGGAAAACGCAGAACTGAGAGTGGTCAGGTGGGGGACGCGGTGTGTGCGCCCCGTGCCTCACCGTGCTCCCTTCGCAGCCAGCCTGCGGGGCGCGGGCCTCTGGGCGCTGCCGGGAGGGATCGGGGGTCGGGGGGTCGCGGTCGCCACAGGGCAGCGGCGCTTCCTGAGGCCGCAGCCCCGCGCTCCGCCCGCCCGCCGGCGCTGCCCCTCAGCGCGGGGCCCGGAGCCTGCGCAGTGCGGCGGGGAGCGGCCTCCCGGCCCGGCCCTGCTGCCCGGCCCTGCCCGCCCTGCCCCGTGCCCGCCCGCCCGCGGGGTGACCGCGCCGGGGCCGCTGCCCCACTCCCCCGGGGCCCGTGGGCACCGGGGACCGCGCCGCGACAGCGCCCCGTCCGCGCCCGCATGGGCCTGGCCGAGCCATGGCCGCCCTGTACAGAGCGCGGACCCGTCCGCCTCGGCCTCGCCCAACAAGCTGCTGGCGCTGAAGGACGTGCGGCAGGTGAAGAGGAGACCACGCTGGACGAGAAGCTTTTCCTGCTGGCCTGCGACAAAGGTACCGGCCCGGCCCCCCGCGAGGCCTCGGCCGCTCGCCCCGAGGGCCCGAATCCACCCTGCCCGCCGGCGCCGGGGTCAGCCCGCCATGGCCGCGCCTGTTGCCGGGGGCGGCGGGACCCCCGAGCGGGTCCGGCCCCGCCGCCTCCCGCTGCCCCAGAGCCAGCGGCCCCGGCTCCTTCTGCCGGGAAGTAACTCCTGAGGGAGTTCGGTTTGTGCCGGAGCAATTCGTAAGGTATTTATTTGCTGCGTTCGCTGTTAGAAGAGCCTGTGCGTGTGGAGCTGCTGTAAAATCGGGGCTTATCTTAACATCACCGCAGTAAGGGCGACCGATATCCTGCAATTTTGTACCCGTGGTTGTGGACGGGCAGAGATTTTCCTTTCTAAAATATGCTTCTTTATGCCTATATTTAGTTACCCTTGAGTAGAAATATGGTCTTAAATAAAACTGATGTTAACACGTCTGAAATGTTGGACTCTTGAGATTGGCTTTTACTGATGTGCTGCGCGGCCCTTCGTGCTTGGTTCACAGGCACGGCTGTGAGGTGCTGACATGTGTGCTGGCCCTGAGTTTAGGTTTGCTCGCACCCGTGGGAGTATTTCTGCCGTGACATCAGCCAGCGAGCTTAGGAACTGTGCTCTGCCCGTGAAGGCTGTCCCGAACATCGGATGAAGCCACAGCTTGCTCTCTTAAGTATGAGCAGGGGCTGAGGGATCTAAAATGATGCATGGCAAAAAAATGTAGAAAACGTAGTTGTCCGTATAACAGCTGATTCAGTGCTCTTGAAGGCTCTTTATGTATTTTATTCCACGTAGAAGTATTCTGTATATACTTCTGTAAGTATGCTACACTAAGGTCTGTCTTGATCATGGTCTTCTATGCTGCAAAATAATGGGTTACCTCAGAGACAGTTTCGAAAGCAACCCGTGCTTTTGTGTGTGTTAGAACTAAGGGCGTAGATGAAGTACATGTCTGTTGCTTTCCTGAAAAGACGTAAATCTTTAGTTTTTTGCCTGATGAGAGAATGCTTATTTACCTTGACTTCTTGCTTGTCTGTCAGTGTCTTGTTGTCAGCTATGGAATGTTGTCTTGTTTGTGGGTAGCTGGTACTTAAAATGTTCCCATGCTTTATGGTAATACAGAATGATATCCATGCATTACTTGTGCAGGTGACTATTACATGGTTAAGAAACTCCTGGAGGAAAACAGCTCGGGGGAAATGAACATAAATTGTGTGGATGTGCTTGGACGAAATGCTGTTACCATAACCATTGAAAATGAAAACTTGGACATACTGCAGCTCCTTTTGGATTACGGCTGCCAGGTATACAACACGTTATTGAAAATTTTCTGTGTAGTCATATATGTTCTCTGTTAATCTGTCAGAATTTGGAAGGGAATACAATCTGCCTTTATAGGCAGTTCAGTTCTTTTTCCATTTAATAATTGCAAAAGTGGGCTTTTTCACTTTTCATATATACTTTTTTGTAAGTATATATAACTGTATAAGTAACATTTTCAATCATATGAACAAGTCTGAATTTTATTTTAAATATTATTCCTGTTGCAGATAAAATGCACACATTATCTTTAAGCAAAATAGACAGTATATAGTCAGTGCATCATATTAAAAGTGTAAAATGCAGATATCCCTTTGGCTATGGAGTATAATAACTTTTTAAATGGTAACATGGAAAAATGCACATTATATTAGCTGATTTTAAGTTAAGACAAATGTGCATTGCTGCAAGTGCTTTCTTATTAAAGTTGATCTGTGCTTGATGGCAGAATAGTTCCCTGCCAACAATGCTTCCTTAACTGTATGCAGCATCTCTGCTGCTGCTGGGAGAGTGGAAGCTATGATGGCTTAAGTATGTAAGACAGGGAGAAGTAGCATTTCTTATTACATTTTTTGATATTGGGCATGAATAAAACAACAAGCTTTCCCCTCCCTGGATCAGTGGCAATAATAAAAGCTGTGTCTTTTATTTTTTAAAGTGAAAATTTGAATTTTTGGAAGTGAATTAAAAAGAATAATATCAACTGAAGGGAAAATGAAAAGCTGCTTAGCTCAGCTTAGGAGAAGTTGCAGAAGGAGTTACCAGCCAAGAAGAAAAAGCTACTGTGAATGCAGGGCTGAAGTATCCCATAGGCCCAAGCTGTGTCACACTGACACTTGCTTTTAACGTTTTTAGTACCACAGGAAACTGTCCCTTAGAACTTGATTTTTGCAAGTATTCAGCATCATCTTTGCTGGAAAGCAATTTCTGCAGTTTGTTCTTTTGCTGTTTGTGCAATGAAACATATTGTCAGTGAGGCTCTGTGAACTCCTGGAATGACAGCCTGCATTTGTATCCTGATCACTGGCCTGGTGATAATGCAGAACGTTGTTTTAGTACTTGAAATATGAATTTAAAATATTAAAAAATGCAGTTTGCCTTGCATTTGACTCTTTCTGCTGTTTTAAGTTACTGCTGTTTTCACATATGATTTGTTTTCTTTCCTTAGTCATCGGATGCACTGTTGGTGGCTATTGACTCGGAAGTGGTGGGAGCTGTGGACATTCTACTTAATCACCGGCCCAAAAGATCCTCCAGACCAACCATTGTCGTTGAGTGTTGTTAGTCCTTGGTTTTTGGTTGGGGAGTGGGGGCTATCACATTCTGGGTAGCTGGGGTATTTAAAACAATGTTAAGTTCTGCATCTCTGAGGTGATAGAACCTGGACACTGAGGATCATTTTTGTAGCCTGATTTGTCTGAAAGATAGAATACATTGTTTTGCTTTATGACCTAAGGAATACAGCACCTTTATACCTGCCAGTGCTAATAGGTGCCTAGTTTGGAAGAGAATGAAAACAGTGGTTATAAATCTTTTCCTGTAGCCTGTTTGTGAGCTGGTTAGCAGCCTTGACCTAGAAAGGGTTTATTCATGTATTGAAGCTTCATAGATTTTTTGAGCAAATCTATAAATGTCAGATCTTTACCTTGAAATTAATCACTTGAAACTTAACTTGGCAATGCTTAATTGTCAGAGAACTTTTAAAAGTACACAACTAGAGGTGGAGGAAGGGAAGGAATAAGGTATTGTGTGACAGAGTACGACACATTCAAGGTATTTTTTCTACACTTAGTAAATTAAATAATTTTTTCTTATATTACAGCAAGAGAACAATTTTTAATATCACGCGTATATTGGAGAAGGCAGGCACTGAATGTCAGATTTTCTGTGTAAATAAATCAGAAACATTTCTGTGTCTCTTTCTTAGTATTTATCTGAGAGGTGTTTGAATGTTTTTGCAAATTTTTCCTTCTTTTTGTGTTATGAAACATTGGAAGGCATTTTGAAGAGCAGATTCACTGTTGAACAGTCAAAAAACCCCTTACATGTAAGCACTGTAGTAGAACTGTGGGTAATAAATTTAGACACTTGCCGTGTTTTATTCCAGAAGTTAATGGAACGCATTCAGAACCCAGAGTACTCAACGACCATGGATGTGGCACCGGTCATTTTAGCTGCTCATCGGAACAACTATGAAATTCTCACCATGCTGCTAAAGCAAGATATATCCTTGCCCAAACCTCATGCTGTAGGCTGTGAATGCACACTGTGTACTGCCAAGAACAAAAAAGATAGTCTACGACATTCCAGGTGAGACTCAGCAGTCATAGTCCCTAATAAAATAATTCTCAGTCTCAATACCCAGGTATTGCTTGGGTCAGATTCAATATGTTTCCTTTTTCTTTTTAAGGTGAAGTTTATCAGTGAATTCCTGTAATACATTGTAGCCCATATTGTGAGAGATGGTAGTTCTTGGAGATGGGTTGTGCTTGAAAAGGCTAGTGGGAAGTAGTGGCTTTTTTCCATTTTGGTTTTATACTCTTAGTCACTGTGCATATTAATCTACATGCCTTTCCTTGCTACCAGTTGTGTCTCAAACATTCTGGCTTAATATTACTTAATATTTGGGGGATTTTGAACCAGAGTGAGGAGGTAGGTAATTCTGCATCAGGGATTGATGTAGGCAAACACTTTTTTTTTCTTTTTTTCTTCAGTATTTTTAAAAGTAGAAAGCTTTTTAATAAAGATTTGGGTGAGGAGAGGGATTTACCAGCCTGGTAAATATTTTGCCTGGTTAACTTGACAACATGTGTGAGGGTTGAATAAAATTTATATGTGAGAGTTGGGATGAAAAATCACAGAGCTCAAAGATCACAAGGGTACTGCAATTACAATATGCAGTTAGTTACTGTGTAATTACTCAGTATGTATGCAAAATACTAAAAAATAAGAGAAGTGAAAACATAATTGTTACTGGTATTTGGCTAGTCCAGGCCACATTCTGGTGTCCATCGTATACCCCATGTTGTCAAGTTCAGTATGAGAAAAGGTGTCAGGGTATCCCAAGCAGACAAAAAATAGAAACATTTGAGATAGCAGCTCTTAGTTTGAACTAGAACAGATAGCACCCTTTTTTTCAGTGTTCTTGAGTCACTCAGTTTGCAAGAGGAGAACATCCCTTCAAATACATTCCCTGATGTTTTTTCTGTGTTGCACATTAAAGCTCCTTACTTCATAGAATCATAGAATCAACCTGGTTGGAAAAGACCTCTGAG